ATATATTATTGCAGAGGGTTTTGCTATAGGGCGCGTGCTCTCGCCAGACAGACAGAGAGAGACAGAGAGACAGAATCTAGAAATCACCCCCCAGATGGGATGAACACACGACCACGCCACAATCCCTTCTCCTCCATTCTCCTCTCAGGATCTTGGGCACGCTCGCACATGCACCCGGGTCCAAGACACAAACCACAGTCGACTACATGGGAGTCCAGCGACATAGCCATTACGCTAACTGCTGGTCCAAAGATTTTTATATTTCAATTGAAGAATCAAATGTCGATGTCAGCAGAAAGTAAGTGATATACACGTATGCAATGATACCAAGAGCAACAACTTAAAAGAGGGGACGGGAAAAGCTATAGAGATGTATTTGAAAACAATTTTTAAAAAATTGAATTAAAATTCCTTAAATTCTTTAAATTTAAATTTAAAAATTCTTTAAAAATGTTTCTCACAAGGATGGGAAGGAAAGAAAAACAAGACTGAGAAACAGAGAGAAAAGCCCTAACTTATCTTTAGTTACTTTGAGTGCAAGTGGTCCTACTAGAGACCACGAGTGGCAAAAGGAGACATAAGAACCAGCTACGTCTACTCCATAAAATTCTCTTCAGCATAAAAACTAGGTAGATTCAAAATTAAGAATGAAAAAAAAATCATTGAATTTCAAATTGAATTTCAAAAATATTGAAGTGAAAAATATATCTCATTTGTTGGTTTCCTTTAACCCTGAACTCGAAATATTAAATTACACCCTTACTAGAGCTCACACTTCTTTTTCTAAATAGAGTGATTCCCTGGAGAAGCTCCATAATCACTCTTCAACCACCGATTCTACTTTCAAGGTAAATATATTTTACAGATGTCAAATGCACATGATGTATACATTGTACACATTTATTCCTCAGAAAATAATGGAATGTCTTTAATAAAGTATTTCCCCAGATTCCGACTATTCTGTGAAGTACTTGCATGAGCATTTTGGCGGTTCTGACCACTGTCCATTTCTACATGTTATTTGTTTGTGACCTTGAAGTTGATTCAGGGACTGGCACTGATATTCAACTGATGTTCTGGAGGATAAGCTGGCCATGGGAATGATGTAACGTCTCCATTGTCAATAGGAGGGGGGCACATTTTTGGTTAGAATCTAAAAAAGTGAAACCATGTGACTTAATGATAGACTAAATCAAAATACGAGTTAAAGTATGGATACGTTGTGGGAGTTAATGTACAGAGTAGTAACAATGGTTATTAATAGGTACTGTATGCGGGGCTGGCAGGTAATGTGGTGCTTGGGATGCTGGACTCCCACATCACTGACCACAGTTCAAGTCCTGGACCCTGTGGCTTGCTTTCTCACTTTTCCTCTTTCTCTCTCTCTCTCTCTGTTCAAATATTTAAAAATAAAAATAAATAAAATAATTTTTTTCAGACCAATAATCGAGAAAATTTGAAAAGAGAAAAAAATTAACCAATACCAAATCACCAAATGTTGGAATTAGTTGACAATGAATTTCAAGCACCAATAGGAATGATAAAAATGAAAAATATAATAAGACAAAAAAAATTTTCCACAAATGTGTGAGGTCTTGCGCCATTTGTTTTTCTGCATGTTACTCTGATAGAAATAGCAGAATTGTATTAACCACGGGCTGGCAGGGACTGGGGTGACTGAGGGATGTAAGGGAGTTACTGGTAAAGGCACACAAATTCTCAGTTAGATAAGAAGGACAGGTTCAAGACATCTATTGTATGACACGGTGATTATAGTGAATAATATTTTCTAGTCTTGAAAAATATGCAGAGAATGGAGGCGATATGTTCTCATCCCAAATAAGGTAAACTATATGAATTAATACAAATACTAATTAACTACATTTAGTCATTCCATAATATATATGCTTTTCAAAATATCTTATTATACATGTTCTTTTACTATAATTTTATTTGTCAATTTTAAAAATAAAATATATTTACATAAATTTAAAATACCCATGAACTGTCTACACATTGTCTACAGTAAGTCACTTCAGATCCAAAGACTGAAAATTGTGTAAAGTAAAAGGTTGGAAAGAGATTCCTCACAAACGGTAGCCGGAAGAGAGTTGGGTGATACTAGGCAAAATAGATTTTAAGTCAGCAGTTGTCACAAGAGTCGAGGACGGACTTCAAACATTCAGAGATGTATACCCCGGGAACCAGCAGTTAGCATAATGGCATGTCCTTGGACTCCCATGTAGTTGATCACGCTTCGCGTCCCAGATCCGGTGGCTTAAAACTCACACCGGGAGCATGTGCGTGTGTGCCCAAGATCCCAGGAGGAGAATGGAGGAGAAGGGATTGCGGCGTGACCTTCCCCCCTGGGGGGTGATTTCTCGCTTTCTGTCTCTCTGTCTCTCTGTCTCTCTCTGTCTGGCGAGTGCATGCTCCCTATAGCAAAAACCTCTCCAAAAAAAAAAAAAAAAGAAATGTATACCCCATCAGGAAGGTATAACAGAATCACTAGTAAAGGATTGATTTAAGCATGTTTAGATTTCTGAACCATAGAAACTATAATATAATAAATTATTGGGGTTTGTTTTGTTTTAAAGCTTGTTTTTAAATTTAATTCTTTCATGTGTCTGAGAGAGAGAGACAGAGACAGAGACAGAACCCTTGACAGGGCCACACCTCGTCCAGTTCTCCCACTCTTGTCTTCAAGTTAGCCAGGACCACAGGTGTGCCCTGCCATGCCATCAGTGTACTCAGGTGGGTCAAAAATAGTATTCGGCACTAGAATGGGAAGATGTGGAGGGCTGGAATAGAAGATGTTCTCAGAAACTTGGTGTTTTAGGACTCTTGCTTGCTGGTTCCCAAGTTCTTCAAATTCAGCAACTGCTTTGCTTTCATATAAAAGTACGGGAAAGTGAAACCCAAGTTCAATTCCAATATATCCCTAGTGTTAATAAGATTTCCTATGGAAGAGTTTTCCATGTTATCAACTATACATTGGAAATCTAAATTCAGAAGTACACAATTCTAATGTGAAGTTATAAATACTCCTGTGCTAAATAGTCTCTAGATGATATAAACTTAACATTTTCAAGTAAAAACGAATGTCGCATATTTTACTACTCATATAATTACGTAAGTGTGGCATCATTGTAGCCATCACTCCATATAAAACTTAATTTTATCCACAAGATCTACAAAATTTAATTATAAACATTAAATTCATGTTACTGAAACATGGTCTTTCAAAGGTTTTTAACCTATTTTTGGTTAGTGCTTCCTATTATGCCTGCATTTAATTGATAAAAGTAGATTATTTTCTATTGATTTTTTCCAAGGTGTGCAAATTTACCTGACCTGATTAGAACTAAAACACTAACCAGGTAACAATAGCAAACTAAAGTAATAATTCACATGTTTAGTACAGTTGTATTTTTACCACATAAAAATGTACTGTATTTTACTTACAGGTAGGGCTGCATTTGGGAGGGATGGACCAACCGCCTTCTGTACACGTTGTACTGCGCTGGTTGTCTGGAAGGCTGTAGCCCGCATTACAGACAATCCATGCAGCCTCACCTTCAAGGTGGGTTTGTCCCGAAGATGCAGATTGGCCATTTTCCACCCAAGGGAAAAAGCACTGTCCTAAAGACCAAAGAGATAAATAAGGTAAAACTTGGAAGGAAAGAGTCTTATATCTGGAAAACAAAGAGAATCAAAGGGGAATATTTAGATTCTTTTAACTTAGTTCAAGTATATCCCAAATAAGATTAACTATATTAATTAATACAAATATTAATGAACTACTTTTAGTCATTCCATAATATACATGCGATCTAACGTCACTGACTACTACTTTGTATATATGAAGCATGTTATATTTGTAAATTTCTTTCACATACTACATTTTACTCTCGTTCTCTCGTTTGATCATCTTAATTGCTCTCCAGGGGACGAGGTGAGTTTGGTCTCCTTTGTCTGACTCTCATTCATCTCCATCCTGCTCTTCTTCACTTCTCTTCGTTTTTCTACACTGAGTGAGAGTAAGACGGATGTGATTTTAAGGAACATAGATGCAGTCAATTAAAAGTGAAAAGCAGAGAAAATAGTTTTAAATGCTCTTTGAGGGTCAGCAGGTGGCATGGTGGCTAGGGTGCTGGACTTCCACATGACTGACCATGGTTGGAGTCCTGTATCTGGCTGTCTGCTTTCTCACTTCCTCTCTCTCTCTTTCTCTCTCTCTCTGGTGAGTGCATGCACTCTATAGCAAATTTAATAATAATAAAATTAAATTAATAATTCTTCTAATTTTTTTGAATATTCAATGAAATAGTACACTTTGAATAAAAGTTAGACCTTAAAAATTTTAGGACAAGTTGCATTAATACAATTATCAAAAGTGTGCATTTAAATTAAATACTGATAGCTAAAAGTATTGACAATTAGTATTTGAAATGAAAATATTTAAATTTTGCAAATAGGTCTGCATGCTTTTTTTCTGATTTTAATTAAAATCTTCTTACAAAAGAAGCATGACATATGTCATTTTTGTAGCTTCCTCTCATCTCAGCACTCACTGAACACACTAAATAAATCATCACGATAAGGGTCAGGGGTTACTCACTGCGACACTTCGGTGTGGGCAACCACCCTTCCTCTGTACAGGTTATTGGATTCCAGAAAGATTGGGAAGAAGACACAAAGCTGTGATCACAAGCATAGTAGAAATGTCTTCCTATAGGAACTGGGAAAGTATCTTTATAGCTGTTTTCATCATAAATTTTTCCATGTTTTATGTCCGGAAAATCACAAGTTCTTCCTTGAAAAAAATAATACCCTATATTGAAGAATAGTTGTACTTTATTTTAATAACCACATTGACAAATATATTATTATACTTAGCTAATTTACTTGTATTAGCGAATTAAAGAAAATCTATAATGAGTACACCTTAGAAGAGCTCATGATATGTAAGTTCTTTAGAAGTATTTTCAATTAAATCACACTGGAAAATGTAAACCCTCAAGAAGAAAGTAAGAGTGATTCTGTCCAGTGGATCTCCCAAATCTAAGGGATTTGTCTCTGGTGGGGTGTCAGCGGTGTTCATAGTTACCCATTCACTTCCTGTGTCTCTCCCTTCCTTCACCCTTTGTGGTCTTGTATTAGATATCTTAATCTTTTGACTGTTCTTTTTCCACTTCAGGAAATATGTTGGATAGAATACTTGTGTGAATATATACATATGTATGTACAGAAAACTATGAGAACATGTAGGTACGAATGTAGATACCATTTTCAGTGAATTAAGCATCGACCTTGAATATAAAACATTCAAAAAGGAAAAAGATTAACAAGAACAATACAACTCCCAAAATCTGATACATATCCTCTAAAATATATTATTTAAATGTGTATATGTGTGACTATTTATAACTCTGTGTGTGTCTATATATATCTGTGTGTGTGTGTGTGTGTGTGTGTGTGTGTGTGGTTTCGGGAAAGTCATGATGCATTTTTGCATAGAGAGACATGGAAATAGAAGTCATGACTTTCCTCATGACCTAATATATATTTGAGTGGAAATCAGGAAAATGTATTTGATAAAACTGGCCTTCTAAAAATGTGCCAGTATTCTGGTATTCATCTGCTAAGGCTGCTGTAACACAAAATTACAAGTATCTTAAACAACGGAAATTTATTTTGTCATAGTTCTGGGGGCTGTAAGTGTAACATCAAGGTATCAGCAGGGTGAATTTCTGCTGAGACCCTTATTCTTGCTCTATACATGGCCATCTTCTATCCTTGTCATCCATGGTCATCCTTCCAGGGGTCCTTCTCCTGCTGTTCTCTTCTTATTGAAATACCAGTTCTATTAGGTGCCAGCCTAGACTTTTGATCTCCCATTCAATTAATTACTTCTTAGAACATCCGGTCTCCAAATACAGTCACAGTCTGAAGTGCTATGTGCCAAAGTGCCGTCTGAGTTTGGGTTGCCCCTTTGATTCTCAAACGAGAAAGCAACCCTCTCAGTGGAAGGACATTGTACATTCAGCCCAAGGTTACTTTTAGAGAGAGCTCAGTGAAGGAAGCACATTTTCAACTGCAATGTCAGGTAAAGATTTGTCATCTTTTTTTTTTTTTAATAGTGCTATTGAGAAAATCAGGCTGACATAGTTCTCAAATTCAAGTCATTATCTAAATAGTACTATTCCTCTGTTTCATTTCTATTCGATCCTTGTTTGCAACAGATATCTGTATTAGCTCAACTAGCAAATGAACTAACTGAGGAATTTGCAGTTGCACAATAGCTCAACTAACAAATGAATTAATTGGGGATTTGTGCTTACACAATAATTGAATGTTATGTTAAGTCATGTGGTAGGCAACACTGAAAATCTGAAGCTGTTTACCCCTTGATAAACCAAGCTGACACAGCTTTTAGAGTGACTGGAAACGAATTTCATGGATCAGTAGTGGACTTTCCCTATTGGCCTCCATTACATTGGTGGACAATTGAAATTCAAGGAAAGAACAATACTTGTGTCCTTCTTTAATAACCACAGATTCGAACTTCCAGGATTTTTGTTTAATTTGTTCCTTTGGCTACACTCTTCTCTTCATCTTCCACTCGATCTCATTTTAAGAGACCCATCTCTCCTATAGATCACACAAGAATCTTGTATTCATTGAGTGCTTGGTATATGTCTGGTACAAGTTTTTTATGTAGACCTCCCTTCTCTTACCGTTCAACTTAAGAACTGAGAATAATTATACTTCTCTGCATTTTAATGGAGTTTTGTCTTTGGCACATGTACTTTTGACATGTATATACTTAGAGGGTATTTTACAACACACAAAAATAATATGTCATAAAAGCAGTAGTAAATATATAGATTATACATATTTATGGGTATATATTTAAAAACCATTAGTAAATATAAAGACTATAGAGAATATATATATATATATATATGTGTGTGTGTGTGTGTGTGTGTGTGTTAATTTCATTTTTTTTTACTATTTTTTAATTTGATGAAAAACAGAGAGAGAGAGAAGAGGAAAGGGAGAAAGCAAACCTCCAGGTTCGGGACTTGAACCACAGTGGGCAAAGTGAGAGTCCAGCATTTCAACATACCACTTGATGGCATCCTTGGTTGTTATTTTTGTAAATTTTAAATTTACTATTGTTTTTGTTAGTATTTATACATTCAATTGCTATACATCATTTAGATTGTCAAGAGTCTTTACCCAGCATGATATACAACACCTTTCCAGAAACAACTGGACAGGGATTTCTTAACTAAGAGAATCGGAGGGATCTACCACCTACTTTATGTCCTTCATGGTCTATGTCTTTTTTGATTTATTAGATTAGAGAAGCAGTGAAACACTCAGAAAACATGAATTTTAAGGTTTGTATTCAAAATTCGAATTCCTGCATCAGGAAGTGTCAGCTACACATTCACCTTGACATACTGGGACAGGAGGGAACCATCCAAAGGGGTAGCACCGAATCAAATCCGATCCAACTCTTCTAAGTCCATGTCGGCAAGAGAATTTCAGCACATCTCCAACTCTATATTTGTCTTTCTTGGGATAAGCAATTAAGTTTCGTTCCATTTCTGGAATCCTGCATTCTCTTTCTAGGAAAAAAAAAAGATAAAATGATCTAGCGAGACTACGTCATTAATCATTACTGAAATAAACTGCTTAACTGCCGTGCAAAACTGAGGGAGGTGTGGATGCACATTCACAGGAGCACCAGATACATTCTCCTCCTTGAAAACATGTTACAGGTGAGGTTTCAGATGCTCCCTAAATTCACGTGGGACTCTGCAACATAGTCAGGCATGGGGCAGAATTCTAGGGTAAGTCTGTGCAGAGAGACCTGGACCCCACCTCACCTACCACGGAGACAGCCATGGCTGCAGCACCCTAAAACACACAGGTGTGTGGACATGCAGACCCGGGGTCCTAGTGGGAAGGGGGGATGGAAGAAAGGGGATGAAGAATGGCAAGGCCTCACTGGGGGGGCTCTTTCTTTTTTTCTCTTAAAAAAAAACATTTTATTTAATGTTGTTTATAATTTGATTAGAGAGAGAGAGAGAGAGAGAGAGAGGAAAATTGAGAAAGGAAGCCACCAGGTCCAGGACTGGAACCGCTATTAGCCATGTAGGAGTCCAGTACTTTTAGCCACCATTCCACCTGCCATCCCTGGGTGGCACTTTCTTATGGCCCCTCTGGTATAAATAAATAAACTAAAAAAAAAAAATTAAAAAAATGGGCTGCAATTATTATATTGAGTATGTACTTGTGGAACCAGAACATGAAGCAAAGCACTCCTGAACTATTTTAAGTGCATTACCAATGGCACAATTAATACAGTACAAATGGGACCAACTGGTGGCATGGTCATTAAGGCAGCTGCATTCCACACAGCCGACCCCGAGAAACAAGTCCTGGTCCTGTCGGCATGAGAAACACAGTGGGTGCATGTGTGCATGCCCAAAGATCTGAAAAGGTGAGAAAAGAGGAGAAGGGATTGCTGCGTGACCATTCCTGATGGAGCTGCTTTCTCATGTTCTCTCTCTCTCTCTCTCTCTGTCTCTTACTGGAGAACACTTGCACATTGTGGCAATTTTAAAAATTTGAATTAAAAAGCCCTCCTCCCAGTTTTCATTAAGTCAGAAGATAACTTGATTTTTCATCATTGTTCTGTAAAAGTATCTCTAGAAAATTTAAAATGTCAAAAAAAAAATGAAACACAGAAACATGCTGAAAGTATAGTTCTCACCATAAACAGGAGGTGTGCCAGATCAAAAATTATAACCACACACTCTGGAACCTTTGGTATGTCTGTGTCTGTTTTAATACCCACTATGGCATTCATCGTCCACCTTGTCATTTGACCTTAAACTATGTGAAATTTCTCGTGATTCTGGCATTGTCAAATACTGGCTCATCACAAGATTTTAATGAATAATACATTGCAGATTTCATTTTAAGGCCATTTGAAGGACAATCTGATGGACAATTGGGCCAGACAGACAGAGAGAGACAGAGAGACAGAAAGCGAGAAATCACCCCCCAGGGGGGATGGCCACGTCGCAATCCCTTCTCCTCCACTCTCCTCTCGGGATCTTGGGCACACACGCCCGGCGTGAGTTTAAGCCACCAGGTCCGGGACTCGAACCACCAAACCAGTCTTTCTAATTGATTTAAATACATAGACATGGGAAGATGGATACCACATAGTTACACTAAAGAGCAAAGCCGAGAGCTCACATCTACTTCCACTCACCTTGTCCGCTGGCACAGGAAGCCCACAGGATGAGCACAGCACTGAGCAGCAGCAGCATGGTGGCTGTCCCCGAGTGCGTTAGCACAGAGTCCTGCCGTGCTGCGTGAGGTGGGAATCTGCCTTATTAGCAGCCACCAATCCTGACTCTGAATGAAAGTGCACCACATGAATGCAGTGGATTGACCTCAATACTTAAATATTAAAGTTCAAAGACTTTTGCAATGTCCCTCAATATCCCTAACCCTGACCCTGACCCTAACTCTAACCGTAACTCTGTTGGTATCCCAATAATTTGTTGACTTTTTTACTTCATGTGTACTTGTCCAACTTCCTTCAGAAAGGGTAATGGACTGGCTCTAAAAATAACTTTAAAAAACACCAATTTTTAAATTAAATGATCTGAAATAGGTGAATTTAAAAATTAAAATAGGAGAAAGGAATAACCTGGGGGAAGAAATCATTCATGTAACTATAATATTCTCTCGTCTCTCACTTTCCTGCAACGACATTTATTTTTGGCAGTCTATGGAAACCAACTTGTGTATTTGGGCCCTATTCCTCTGTGTATGTTTCTATGTGTTCTTGTGTTTAGGAAAGCAATACATTTTTTTAAAAATCACATTAGAAAACCATGTTGTACAGTGTAAAGATGTATAGTGATTGTTAATAAAAAATAAATTTTTAAAAATCACATTGGATCATACTATTATAAGTACAAGAGTTTCAGGTTATTCTTGAACATTTACTTTTTTTAAGAGGTTTTTACATTAGGGCATGTGCACCTGCCTGAAAGACAAACAGAGACAGTGAGAGAGAAAGTGAGAAATCACCCCTGGGAGGATGAACAAGCTACAGTCCTTACACTCACGCACACACGCCCGGCGTGAGTTTAAGTCACCGGGTCCAGGACTTGAACCACGTCGACTACATGGGAGTCCAGCGACATAGCCATTACGCTAACTGCTGGCCCCCGATAGCTACAATGATTTCTAAATATTAAATAATTTTAGTAGAGTACAGAGTTAAGACTTCCAAATTAGTAGACTAGCTTATGTCAGGAAAACCCTGCAAATAACACAGCACAAACATGAAATGAAGTTCCTGAGTGAGCAAAAGCAGGCAGAAATGGGAAGCATCTGGTTTGAAAGGATGGCATTGATCAGTGAGCTCCGCCTTCTGCACTCGGAGCTCATCCAGGTCCGTGCATAAAGGATGGCGCTGAGACAGAAAGCAGGAGTTGTATTTGTGTAAGAAATCGATATCTGAGTCCAGAGCTGGGAAAATCCATGGGCAAGGACTCTGGACCAGGGACCTGGGAAATCCCCAACAATCTCCATATAAAATCCGTGTGAATTGTTTACCTTCTGTACACCGGACATGCCTGGGGGGAAACTTCAAGCAGAAGAGAAAAGTGCTGCAAGACTGAGAACATTGGAAATTTCATTAATGCCTATATAGGGAAGAATTTGGAGTCTAGGACAGCATCGTTTGTTAAGTTCCTCACATTTTACCGGAACTCGGAACAAATATGTATTAGGAGTGTTTGTACACACACGCATGCATTATGTACATAAAATCAGGAAAAGGATGTGAAATTTTAGAGAAGAAATATACGGTGTCTAAGGAACAATAAAACGAGTCCTGCCCTGAAATATATAAAAACTGAGGAACACAATAGCAGAATCAACCAAATTATAGAAGAAAGCAATAGATTTGTGAGAAAGTTGATTGAAATTTTCTAAAATAGGCAATCAAGATAAAAAGAAGATTTAAACATTTAATATTCAATCACCTATACAGCTGTATCATGTGGTCAAACGGGAATAAGACAAGGAAAGTTTGAGGCAGAAAAGCAATGTGAAAAATTAAACATTCTATTCCAATCTTCCAGTTGGTGTTAAGACAAAAACAAAAACAAAAACAAAAACAAAAACAAAAACAAAAACAAAAACAAAAACAAAAACAAAAACAAAAACAAAAACAAAAACAAAAACAAAAACAAAAACAAAAACAAAAACAAAAACAAAAACAAAAACAAAAACAAAAACAAAAACAAAA